TTTTTTTTTAAAAAAATCAAAAATAAAAAGAGACATTCCTACCCTAGCTAAAGGAGTGTCAAGTAACAGAACTATCCTTCAGATTTGCTTTTTGGTGTGTGAAATTGGCCATTTTATGAATGAAGAGTTGCCATGCTCTATTCATAATGAGGCTGTCCTAATAGTCAGACAAATCCTTTGTCAGATCTGGAAGCCATTTGGGCCTTCAGGGCTGCCACATTGTCTACTGTGGGGAAATGGGACAGGCCTGAAGGCCCAAATGTAAAAGATGGCTTCCAGGTCTGACACTCTTTGCATGTCAGTAACAGTGCAGGTAATCCTTGACTTACAGTTCATTTAGTGACCATTCAGAGTTACAACAGCACTGGGGAAAAAGTGTCTTACGACCGTTTTCCACACTTGCGACTGTTACAGCATTCCCCATGGTCACCTGATCAAAATTCAGGCGCTTGGCAAGTGCTCATATTTATGACACTTGCAGTGTCCTGGGGTCACATGATCACGTTTTGCAACCTTCTGACAAGCAAAGTTGATGGGGAAGCCAGGTTCTCTTAACAACTATGTTACTAATTTAACAAGTGCAGCGATTCACTTAATGACAGTGGCAAAGAAGGCCGTAAAATTGGGCAAAACTCACCTAAGAAAGGTCTCGCTTAGCACAGAAACTTTTGAGCTCAATTGTAGCCACAGGTCAGTGGTGGATTCCGGATCCTGTTGCAACTGGTACGGTGCAACGGGGACAGGCGTCCACCACATGAACATGCACAGCATGCACATGCGTACTTACCACCCACAGCGCTCCAACTGCTCGGCGGAGCGTTGCGCAGGTGCTATACCCTCCATGAGCGTGCACAGAAGCCCCAAACAGTTTAAATACAGGTAAGGAGCACGGGTGGGCGGCTGGGCCCTCCGGAGCACTGTACTGAAACAATACCTGGTGCTCCTGGCAGGCATCGGTACACCCGGGGCGTACCAATCGTAACCCACCACCGTCACAAGTTGAGGATTACCTGTACTTCAATTGGTCTTTATGCCTTCCACAGAGTACTGGATGCTTGGAGCAGCTAAGAACATGTCTTCTTCTGATACCAAATTTGGATGAGGAATTCTAATAGGAGGCACCGGTATATAGTAAGCACACACCAGGGGTGGGTTCCTGCCAGTTCTAACCTCTTTTGTAGAAGAGGTTCCACAAATCTACCGTGCCATTTAGAACCGGTTTCAGCTCCCTCCCCCCGCCCATCCGCACCACACTTGCCCTGCCAGCTGCTCAATGATTGGCTGGCTCACCAATCGTCCCATCCCCCTCTAAGAGTCCTATCTAAACCTTAAAGTCTTAAAGCTGTCAAGTTTGAACACCCATAGGTTTTTTTTTTCTAAAGGGTTAGTGGTGCAAGNTTTCCATTAAAAAAAAGTTAAAATGCAGCATAATGTGAGACCACTGGACTCTGTATAAATAAAATGAGCTCATTCCAGGGTTGTTATGAAATATCTCTGCCAACTTTCTTATCTGTTCTGCCATGATAAGGATGCATGCATGTAGCATGTCATAAGAAGAACACAACTGCATCCCTTTGAGGATTTTATTGAACTGCTCTTACTTGGTGGCAAACTCATTTCATGAAAACTGGCAAATATAAAATCTTTGCCATTTATTTTTACTGGGCGAATTCATTTTTACAGTTACCAGTTTTATACATGATTTGTAAGATAGAAAGATTGTTTAATAGAGCTTCTGCTCATCCACCCAGATTGACTAATTACATTTTTCAGAGAAATTTTGAAGGGAATTTGAAATGAATCACTCCAAACCATTTATTGCATGCTTATGCCTTGTTATTTTTATCTATTTGATTTTATTCTTCCTGCTTTTTATTGTTATTCACTGCACAGAATGATATACTCTTTGTTTTTAATTTTTATCTTATCTCTAAAATAAAACAAAAAAAATGCCTTTACTGCACCTCAGCAAAAAGATTGCTCTGTTCTGCTGTTGGTTGAGATGGAACAATTTCAGGGTAACAATTGATGGGTTCCTGCTGTCCTTTCCCTCCCCTATTTGCAGGGGTGGGCTTCCAAACTTTCAGCAATGGATTCTCTGCCTGTTGCTGGGTGGGCATGGCCATGGTGGGTGTGGCCTAGTCAGCCTCCTGCATCGTGTGTGTGTGTGTGTGTGTGTGTGTGTGTGTGTGTGTGTGTGTGTGTGTGTGTGTGTTTCCACCTTCCCCAGGCTCTGGAGGCTTTCCTCAAGCCTCTGGGAGGATGAAAACTGCCTCCCCTGGGCTCCAGAGGCCTTCTAGAACTTCTGGGAGACCTGTTTTTCCCCCTCCCCAAGCCTCTGTGTGGGCCCTGCACTTACCTCACATCCAAAACGAGCCATGTGGAGACTCCTGGGAGGGGAAGGGCAGGGTGGGCCAGCTAAGATGGGATTTGGAGGTTCTTCAAACCGGCCATAATGTTAGCTACAGGTTCTCCCGAACCCAGGCGAACCCGTAGCAGTCCACCCCTGCCTATTTGTATCACCACCTGTCGCTATCATGGCATTTTCAGTTCCTCCTCCATGTGCACTAGAATGTTTGTATGGGAGTCTTCTCTCAAAAGAGCACAAACAATGTTACTTATAAGTTGGAAAACTGTCAATGGCTTCAGTCTGCCTCAGCAGTAGGTTATCCCTGAGATGGAGCCCAGACCCATTGCAAACAGGAAATAGGTCATTATTATGTCATGATAAGCAAGCCATGTGTATGACCACTATAGCTTTCTGGGGGACTAACAAGGCAGCCACTGGGAGGCAATTCCAGAGAGAACCTCAACTATGAAGTCTTTCTTATCCTCAGCTTAGTGATGACTAAGATAATGAAAATGAAGCCTATCAGATATACATGTTTATGTTCACTGAACTGACTTGGATTTTATTTTTATTTTATATGGGGGGGGGGGAATTATGTGTATTCGATATTTCAGCAACTTCTTGAATAATACCATTATATATTTTGTGTCTACTCTATTTTTATTAGTATATGTAATGACTGATACTGTTTTTTATCTTTATTTTTGCATTTCTTCTGTGATTACACCAATCGTTGCATCTCTTTTTTGATCTTTTTATTTCTAGTTTTCTTGTCTGGTTCAATGTTTGCTGTTAAGGCCAACCCTAGTAAGAACTTATGTAAGACCAATGCAATCTATTATTTAGGAAATTCTCGTGGCAAGTAAGATATGTGTTGGCAGAGGAGGCATGCTGAGAATCCTGTCAACCCAATTATTCCAGCTGGAGGGGTCCAGGAGGAGGGTCTTCTCTGCTGTTGATCCTCCTCTTCAGAACAGCTTGACCCTCCAATGTCAAGTTGCCCCAACTTTCCCATCCTTTTGTAAGGGGCTAAAGACCTGGCTCTGCCAGTTGGGTTGGGGCCCCAGTGGTGGAACAGCACAGTGATGGTGGTTGATCAAGTAACAACAGATCCCACCTCTTCCCACACTGCCCCCACCCTCCCCGCATTTCCTTTGGTATTAATGTTTGATTTTAATTTATTTATGCTTTAATTGTAGATGTATAAATATATTTTATGACTGTAAGCCATTGAAAGTTACCTTATACTGAGATGAATGGCCAGTACATTTTATAAATAAATAAATATGACAAGGCTGTCATCAGTTCATGGCCACCAGAGATCCAGCCCAGAAGTTCAACCCTCCTTGAATTCTTTTGATTCTTATCTACTGCCAAGTTGTCTCGATCCTTGTAGTGATCTAGCATGGATTTAACTTGTACTCATTTGAACAACCTTGGTTCCTGATTTCTTGCATCTGATATGGCAATGTGGAAAGAAGTGGCACAACTTTGCAATTCATGTCCTTAAGAGACTTAAATTTTATTTTTAAAGTTACCGGTTTGCCCAAACTGGTCCAAGCCAGTAGAATCCCACCCCGGCTTCATCTTTATATGCAGTAATCTGCTCTGCCAGATTTGGTGGAATGTAGTTTCCTCCTTGGTGTTCTATAATTAGAGTATTGTTTTTAGCCTGATTGTTTGCAATGGATGGAACTAATCAAGGAGAGAAATAATCTAGAACTAAAGAGAAATTTCCTGACAGAATAATTAACCAGTGGAACAAACTGTCTCTGAAAGTTGTGGGTGCTCTGCTCCAACACCATAGGTTTTAAAGAAGAGATTGGACAACCATTTGTCTGAACTATTATAAGTTTACTACTTGAGCAGGGGGTTGGACTAGAAGACCTCCAAGGTACCTTCCAACTCTGTTATTATCTTTGGTGCTGATCCTTGCATATCTGAATGTGGATTGTTGTAGTCTTTTTTTTTTAATTGCCTCTTTTGAATGGTATGAAATCTAATCAGGGATCCACCAAAGAGAAACATACATTCCCACCAAAACTGGCGGGAGAAAGTAGTACATAGAAACAATGAGTAAACTTCACATTTGTTCATAATGATGATGATACCTTCTTGGGTAAGGAAATGCCTGCAAGCAAACAATCAAGCTCACAGAGTACCAGAACTACAGAGATCAACTACAAGATATGGATATTGATTTCTATTGGAGATTTTTTTTTTTTAAATTTTAAATTCTCACTTAACTAGGCACCAAAGGTGATTGCCTGATTTGCCTATATAAACATACCACTGTATGATACAGATATGGACATTCATTTCTGCCAGGTACCAAATTAAATTAAATGCTGGAATAAGGCTTTTGTTTTGGTCTTCTCTGAAAGTTCATCCCACAATGTGAAGTGCATTATTAAAAGATCACAGGTTGACTGAGGTCAATTATAGAATCCCACCACACTTTGTTAAGCAAATAAGGAGTTGATAAACTGTGACAAAATGCAACTCAGAACCCCAGGTAACATGGGCAACATTAAAAGATGCTGAGAGTTGTTCAGCAATTACCTGAAGGATTCAAAATTACTTCCTTCTGTGATAATGCTAATCCAAAAGTGGTTTTGAGGGTATAATAATGTTATAGATAAATTAAGATTCAAGTCTGAGATGCAACCATTTTCTTTATGACCTTCCTTAAAGCCTGCTTGATATCCTTGTTCCTCAGGGTGTAGATCAAGGGGTTCAGGAAGGGAGTGACAAAGGTATATATAAGAGCAAGTTTCTTATCCTCATCCTCCAAAGTGCTGGACTTGGGACGTAGATACACAAGGCTGCAGACACCATACTGTAGGAATACAACTGTCAGGTGGGAGGAACAGGTGGAGAAGGCTTTGTGCCTCCCAGATGAGGACTTAATTCGAAGAATGGCAGCCACAATGTAGACATAGGAGATGCATATTAGAACAAATGGAATCATTAAAACAATGAAGACAACACCATACAGTGCAGTTTGGTGAAGATGGGTGTCAGCACATGCCACTTGTAGAACAGGTGGTACATCACAAAAGAAATGATTGATCTTGGGTTGGTAACCACAAAAAGGCAAGTTGAAAACCAAGACGGTTAGCTGCAGACACAGCACTATGGCAAGGATCAGGGAGCCAATCACTAGCCACATGCAAACCTGCCAGGTCATGATGAGGGTGTAGCGAAGTGGGTGGCAGATGGCTACGTAGCGATCATACGCCATGACAGCCAACATAAAACAGTCAGTGCTCCCTAGGGTTGTAAAAAAGAACATCTGGATGGCACAGTTCACCAGTGGGATTGTTCTGTGGAAATCAGAAATGCTAGCAAGCATTTGAGGCACTATTACAGTGATATAACAGATCTCCAAAAGAGAGAGGCTAGCCAGGAAGAAATACATGGGGGTATGCAGGGAATTGACCATGCAGACAATTGAAAGGATGGAGATATTAGCAGAAAAAATTATGAGGTAGAGCAAAAGAAAGAAAGTGAAAATAAGATGTTGTATCTCAGGAACAGTGGAGAATGCCTGGAAGATGAACTCATAGGCCATGGACTGATTATCCCAGATTGATCCTGCCAGATGCATCTCATCTATCACTGTAGAAAAAAGGCAAGAAGAAAAGCCAATTAAACAGTAATGTGTATTTCTATACATTTCAAAGTAAAATCTTGTGGATTGTATGATACTGAGGTCAGTCATTCGTGAAATCTCAGTGTTTAATCCTAAACTCTTCATTCCCCTTCATCTCCTAAATTAAACTTCACCCAAGCAAATCCCAACACTTCCAGCATCTTTAGATGCATTACAATATAAATTATCCAAAACGGTCCAAATAGATATAAAAGCTGGTATTTACAGAACATGTATTATCAATAGGATACAAGCATCTCACCTGTGTTTTTCCTCCTGAAAAGAAGTTCCTACTATTATCAGGAAGGTGAAATCTTTGAATGTAAAAGAATCACTTAAAAGCAGAAATGAGTCCTAGTCCTACAGATGAATGAGACCAGATATTCATTTAAGTTCAGTTGTGTGAGTTCCCAAGAGAGCATGGACATGGGTATATTTTCAGCTGCTTTGGTGTAAGAAGGTTTAAGACCCAAGAAAACAAAGAGTCGCTGAGTTGAAAGGAAGGCTGAAAATACCCGAACTTTGTCTGAGATGAGTGAAACAGCTGGCATTTCTGTGCTGAATAACATTACATTTCACAGCACTTGATAGTTCCAATGATGAGCCGTAGTGGTGCAGTGGTTAGAGTGCAGTACTGCAGGCTACTTCTGCTGAGGACCAGCTGCCTGCAACTTGGCAATTTGAATCTCACCAGGCTCAAGGTTGACTCAACCTTCCATCCTTCCAAGGTGGGTAGAAAGAGGACCCAGATTGTTGGAGGCAATAGGCTGACCCTGTAAACTACTTAGAGAGGGCTGTAAAGCCCTCTAAAATGGTATATAAATCTAAGTGTTATTGCTATTGCTATTCAGGTCTGGTCAGACCTCTTAGTTCTACTGATTAGTTCCACTTTGAGCCTGTGACAAGGAAACAAGGTGGGGAGCATCTATTGGCTTTCCTTCCTAGGCAATTCAGCTGTCCAGGCTACAGTACTGATTACTGTTACTATCACTGATGCCATAGTAAAAACCTGCAAGGGATTGGCTAATGGTTTTTTTTTTTTTGGATAAATAGAACAGGGGTACATAAGATGGGACCAGGGAAAATGTATTTACACTTAGACAATTTTAGGGTTAAAATAAGAACGAATATGGATAAAGTGTACTATAGTTTGTCTTTGTCATTTAACTGACAAGTTGCCCTAAATCACAATATGCTTTACTTGTTATTTGTAGAATCAGCCTTAAGGGCTGCTTTCATATTTAGAAGTGCTCATATAGCACAAAAATAGTCTACTTTGAATGGAGCGCAGGTCCAGGTAATTTCATAGAAACAACCAGGTCATTTTCTCAGCAAGAGAAGAAAAGTGGTTTGCCACTGCCTTCTGGATGTTTATAACTTTTGACTCACCCTAGTTTCAGATCCTGACTTGATATATAGCATTCTATACAGAAGTCCTTCATTGCAACCGTTCCATTCTGATTTTTGACAATGGCCAGAAAAATGAATACCATTCTGCAATTCCACTTTAAAACGCAGGTTAAATGATTCTGAATTGTTTTGATTCCTCGTGGCTTCTTAAAACTCCCCAGCCCCCAGGCACACTAGTCTAGGCAGTGAGTGAGTCCTGAGGAGAAATTGGCAAGATTTCCATATCTTTTTTTATTCTGGGGGAGGAGTAGTGGGGGGGGAACTCTCTGATGCAAAGGACCAAGTTGCTACTAATTTATTTTTAAGATGCTGTCTTGTGGATGGTAGGAGGGAATGCTAACAGTTTCTTGCTTGCTGAATAGGAATGCGCAATTACGGTATCGGCTTTTTTCAGGACCACCTCTATTCCCTGCAACTCAAACCTACTTCCCTGACAACCTTCAAAATTCTGTTCCTGGTGATTGATTGTAGGCATTGTTTTAAATATCTTTTCTTCCTTCCTCCACAGCAACCACACAGAGCTATGTTATGGTCTCCACTTGTATATTGTAGCATCTTGTAGAGCCATCATTGTCCCAAAATGACTGCAATATAGACAGTCTTTATATTGCCTCAGTAATGGCTGGATGGTAGTAGGCAGAAATAATTTGCCTATGTGTTTAGCTACTAAAAGAAATAATTGGTTGTAAAATTGGAGCATGATATATTTTCATCACCACAGCTAGCAATCTTAAATGCAAGGAGGAATATTTAGGAACTCTAGCATTTCTTATGAAGTTGGGATGAGTTCACAGCCGAAACTATGAAGACCTGAAGTAGTGAAGACTTATTAACACATGGAAAATGTCTTAATGTTCTTTTATTTTGCTTCCAACATTACACTGGAGCAGCTTTTCCCAATCTATTGCCCTCCAAATGTGTTAGAGGTCAAACCAGCAGGTTCAAGGGAGCTACAGAGTTTAAAATCCAACAACTAGGAGTGCAACAGATACCGTATTGATAGTTATGTTTGCTTCAAAAGTACTGGATACACATGAAAATCTAGCAAAGGTGAATAGAAGGGTAANGCGCAGGTCCAGGTAATTTCATAGAAACAACCAGGTCATTTTCTCAGCAAGAGAAGAAAAGTGGTTTGCCACTGCCTTCTGGATGTTTATAACTTCCTTGATTCTATTTAGTGAAATCCCATACAAATACTGATCATGCTTAGCCCTGCTTACCTTCCCACAGTAGATAGGCTCATACATGCCAAAAAAAAACCCCAAAACATGATTATAGAAAAAAATCTAGCTCGTGTGTTACATATTGTTTTAGGAGATTATAAATTAAATTTCTCAACATCTGTACTGCCAATTTTTGTCCTTAGGCTCAAAATCATTTTAAGATGTGTGTGAAATCAAAAACGTTTATCTACTTCTTTAAAAGATGATAGTTTTGATCTACGATTCTACTATTTTGTTTCAGGGAAAAATAAAAAAAATCTGGTAGAAGAAAGAAGTGATTGGATGTGAAGCTTAAAAATATTTCCACCCCATCATTCTGAAAGATTAAAGAATAACCATAGTCATATTATCAGCTAAACTTTGTAGCTTTGTCTTTTTAAAGATAAATTATTTATATAAACATAATATTGCTTCCAAATAAATATAACTGCAGACTCAATGCTGGGGAAAGAACAAAAAGGAATTGAAAATGAGTTAAAAGTTATACTCTTGCATCTCTGAATGAAGCTGGAAAATCTCTGGCTGAGATCCTGGGGACTCCTAGACATTCAGAATCCACTCAACTCTCCCAGAAAGAAAGGATCTAGCAAAGCTAAATAACTTCCTCTTCTTACCTTGTAAGATGCCTTTGATCCTGGACTAGAAAACAAAGAGGAATTCTCTTCTTCTTGACAATGTTTTCTGGCTTAAAAGATGAAAGAGGAATGAAATTTCATCAAATTATATGAACAGGTGAGTGATTTCTGGCACAGCTTTCTAGGTGAGTTATCTGTGAATAACTCATCCTTTTCTAGGATGAGTCTAGCTTACTTACTAGATTGAGTATAGTTGTCAGGTTCCTCCCAATTCACTGAATCAGAAATGGAAGGCAAGCAAAGGTAGCCATCTATTCATAGCCACTATCTTTACTCCAGCCAATCAGGGTAGTCTTTGTCTTGTTGCAAGATATTATCCCCAGTAGACATACTAAGTGTTTGTTATTTAAAAAAACAAACAGTTTTCCTGTGGAATCCCAGTGTAGCAAAATTTTAAAGAAGCAATAAAAACTTCAGAGGTCAAAAGCTTGTAAGAAATTCATTTCAATGTTCTGTGTAGAAAGTTTTCGACCATCTGTGATCCAGAGGTAGAAGAACAATAGGATGCAGTTAATGTAGCTGCTTTACATCATTTCTTTGTTGTCCATCCTGTCCCCAATATTTTAAGTGTAGTAATTTTGATAGTGAAAAGCCTATTCTGTCTTTTCTCTGTCTCAAAGAGTCAATAGCCAGGGTCCATATAACTGGTTGAGATGCCTTGAGTACTTTAAAAGTTAGTAGTGCAACATGTTCAGAATTAGCTTTGCAAAGCATTATAATGAAGAAACTATCAATGGAAACAATATTTCTGAACTATATTTTTGTGCTGAGAACCACCACGTGATATTGCTAAAGAATGAGAAAACAAAAAAATATTTGAACCATTGAATTGCACTACCATTGACATCTAAGTAACCTTGACAGCAGTCATGTGTGAAAACACCACTGTCATGTCCAAAAGGATGCAAGGCATTGATACGTGGCCACCAAAATATTCAGAATTCGTGGAAATGCTTTTGAATGGCTTGTACCAAATTCTGATTGATATGGGCATTATCATGCTGAATATCAGTACTGAATTAATTACTCTTACATTCAGTGGCTAGGCCAGCTCAATTCTATTACAAGTAGGGACCTATGAGTAGGTTATTCTACCTGGTTTTTTTTCTTTTTACATCTTTCCCCAGTTGAGGAAGGGAGAAATGGGGAGATGTAAATAATGGGTTTTAATGAAGAAATTATTCTAGGTGAGAGGAATTATATTGATTAAACAAAATTCAGAAAAGTATATGGCCAATAGATCAGAGCAAGAGAGGAAGCAATGGTATCTAAGCAGCAGGTTCTAAAATTGGGAGAATGTATACATATCCCAACCTCATCTTGTCCAGGGGAGGTTACTCCTGGTCTACCTGGCCTACATGATTTGTGGCAACACAAGCTGGGAAACATAGACCACTCTTTGCAGTTTGGGGAATTGACTGCCTTGTGAGGCCAACCCTAGTAAGAACTTATGTAAAGGCAAGTGCAATCCATTATCTAGGAAATTCCTCATGATGATTGTAGAAAAAGATGGCGTATCTTTGCAATTCAATGCTGTTAGAAACTTAAATTTTATTGTTTAAATGTAAGTATTTGAATAACAATCAACATACTGTGAATTAATTGAAGAAATTAATCAAATACTTTTTTCTTCTGGGTAAAGCAGAAATTGAAATTAGTCTTACTACAATCAGGGTATGAATATGACAAAGTCAGAAGTACAGATTGCTTCATTTCAAACTCCAGGAAAATTCTACTGCAAGACATCCCAACATTCCTCTAAGGCGTACATTTTACGTATTATTCTTGCCAAAAGCAAAAAAGCACACTCACACAATACAGACCTAGCCTATCTGTACAAAATAGTGTTCAGACGTTTAGGTGTAGTACAGATTTCAATCACTCAGCATCTGTGGTGGCAGCTTTTGTGTTTTGGGTAGAATTCATGTCAACATGTGTGAGACCTCTAAAATGTAACCATTCTTTAAAAGACGATAGCTTTATTATAGGTTTCTAACGTTCTTGTCTCAGAAAAAAATGAAAAATCTGGTAGAAGAAAAATGAATGGTTGAACAGAAATGCAATGCTGAAAATTTTTTAAAAAGAAAAGGATAGCATTCCATTTACTGAAAAGGGAATAATTCCTGAATTAAAACAGATTCCACCCTTATCACTCTGAAAGATTAGACAGCACCTACTATCATATCGTCAGTTAATCTTTGTAGCTTTCTCCTTTTAAAGGTAAATTTGTTCTCATAAATGTATAGTTACAGAAACTGGTTATATTAACCATTTCAATTCTCCCTTTCTCAGAGTCATAACTGAATTTTGCAGGACTCAGAATGTCTTCAGTAATCACAACTAATTACTTGTGACTCGCTACCCTTTCCAGCCAAAACAAAGGATGATGCATTAATCACGCAGTCTTGCACATCCCATTACAGTCTTATCTTAGCTTCTGTGGTCATTTTGTGTATTTTTGCACCTTTTTTCATCAGTACAGGTAAAGTGAAGATTTTTATTTAATTTTATTTAAGTAAGTATTAATTTTTAGATTAATTTCTAGTGTAAAGTAATCTATCTTTTTACATATTGCCTTAAAAATGTGGATTGTCTTTGGAACACATGAAATGTATTTATATTATTCCTTATGGGGAAAAATAGTTTGATACTTGTCATTTTTGGTACTCATCATGCCTCCAGGAACCAATTAATGACGAGTACTGAGGTACCACTATAATAATGTGACTGATGGATTGAGACTCAAATCTGAGATGCAACCATTTAGTTTATGACCTTCCTTAAAGCCTGCTTGATATCCTTGTTCCTCAGGGTGTAGATCAAGGGGTTCAGGAAGGGAGTGACAAAGGTATATATAAGAGC